TTGTTCAACGACGTTTTTTCTCGCATCATGTGTCCCACTCGGTTGCCTCTGGCTGTAAGGTGACATCTGTCTTGGACGGGTATTCACCCGCCCTGTTCGAGGGACTCGCGGGCAGACATGCATTTTTACGTTTGTCAGCGTGGTATATTCGTTTACGCATTGCGAAAATGCGCGCTGAAATTCCACACGTAGCAGTGTAGTACAAGCCTGTGGACACACAAGTGTTCGTCATCATGCATTTCCACGTGCGGGCATTGCTACTTGAGCTGTGCGTCGCGTACGTGAAGTATCCAGTGCCGAAGGTCGTGACGTGGCTATGAACACTGGTCCATGGCGCGTACCGCGACAGCGCTGGTAAGTCCCGCCCCTCCTCATCCCCTCGTCCTCAAAGCTGGGTGGGGTCCTGTCGCGACGCTGTGGGCCGGCGAGAATCCGCTGCGACACCCGCGGGAGCGATGGGGCTCCTGAACCGGAAGGGCGTACCGCTTCGCCAGCGGCTCAGGAGGGCATCCTGCGCACCGCCGCCAGGATGAGGGCTCGGGAGGACCAGGGAACGAGGCGGAGAATGTATATGGGGGAGGAGGAGGATGAGGAGGAGGACGAGGAGGAGAAGGAGGAGGAGGAGGAGGAGGACGAGGAGGACGAGGATGAGGATGACGATGATGAGGAGGAGGAGGGGGAGGAGGAGGTCATGGAGGAGGAGGAGGAGGAGGAGGAGGAGGACGAGGAGGAGGAGGAGAAGGATAAGGAGGAGAAAGAGGAGGAGTAGGATGACGAATCGTAATACTACCTATACCAATCGTAGGAATGTCAAGCAAACTACTGATAACAATAATGAGACTGATACTGATAGTGATACTGGTAAACATTATGGTAAGAACACGATTAATGTACTACTAGTATTTTTTGTTTTACGAACAATACGAATAAAGCAAGTCAACCAATAATATTCATATTTAGAATACGAATAACACTAATATGAAGAAGATGAGGAGGAGGTGAAAGAGGAGGAGAATGAGGAGGAGGGGGAGGAGGGAGAGGAGGAGGCGGAGGAGGAGGAAGAGAGGAGGAGGGAGGAGGAAGGAGAAGGAGGGAGACGAGGGGCGAGGAGAGGAGGAGGAGGAGGAGGAGGAGGAGGAGGAGGAGGAGGAGGAGGAGGAGGAGGAGGAGGAGGAGGAGGAGGAGGAGGAGAGGAGGAGGAGGAGGAGGAGGAGGAGGAGGAGGAGGAGGAGGAGGAGGGAGGAGGGAGGAGGAGGGAGGAGGCGCGAGGAGCGAGGAGCGAGTAGCGAGGAACGAGGAACGAGGAGCGAGGAGCGAGGAGCGAGGAGCGAGGAGCGAGGAGCGAGGAGCGAGGAGCGAGGAGTGAAGAGCGAGGAGCGAGGAGCGAGTAGCGAGGAACGAGGAGCGAGGAACGACGAGGAGGAGGATGATGAGGAGGAGGATGAGGAGGAGTAGGAGGAGAAAGAGGAGGAGGAGGCGGAGGAGGAGGAGGAGAAGGAGGAGAAGAAACCATAACACACATACTCCTGTTGGTAGGTATAATTATATGAATTATAAGAGTAGTAACCATACTTAGCAGAGTATCAATAATACGGTGAAGAAGAATAATGATATTAATTATCATGTTAAGAACACTGATCAGGGAAATAACCAGAGGAATCATCATATTAAGACTGATGAGAAAAAAACGAGTTGGTTGAGGAGGAGGAGGAGCGATAATGAGGAGGAGGAGAAGAGGAGGAGGATGATGATTAGGCGAAGGAGGAGGCGGAGGAGGGTGAAGAGGATGAGGATGAGGAGGAGGAGGAAGCACGTCGCTTGTGCTCAAACAGGAGGGGGAGGAGGACGAGGAGGTGGAGAAAGAGGAGAAGGAAGAGGAGGAGGAAGAGGAGGCGGAGGAGGAGGAGGAGGAGAAGGATGAGGAAGAGGATGAGGAGGAGGGGGAGGAGGAGGCGGAGGCGGAGGAGGAGGAAGAGGAGTAGGAGGAGGAAGAGGAAGAGGAGGAGGAGGAAGACGATGCGGATGGAGGAAGATGAGGAAGAGGAGGGGGATGCGGTAGAGGAGGAGGGGGCTGAGGAGGAGTGGGAGGAGGAAGAGGAGGAGGAGGAAGAAGAGGTGGGGGATGCGGTAGAGGAGGAGGAGGAGGAAGAGGAGGAGGAGGGGGAGGATGAGGAGCAGGAGGGGGAGGAGGTGGATGATAGAGATGTGGATGGCGAGGATGATGTGCAGGAGCAGGATGAGAAGGTCGCGGCGTGCTTGCCTTCCCCGTGCTTGCCTGTTTTCTCCCAGTTTCGTGTTGTTGTGGTTGCATGGAATTGGCCCTCGGCAGCCGTTATTTGTGCTCTGCCCTTTCTTTTGAATTCTTCATTCGAGGGGCAGTGCTTGATGGTCGTGATTTGAATGATGACGATCTCAAGGGTTGTGGCCCGTGCCATTTGATCATCGTGTCCATCTCCTGGAGTGATGTGTGATGTCTCCAGCTTGCTGTCCTACATTTCCGCCTGCCTGTCAACCAGCCTGTCTGTCGTTTTACGTTCATGCGTACGCGTGTGCGTGTGCATGCGTGTGTTTACATGTTTGCGCGCGTGTTTATGCATGCGTGCGCATCCACGTATCCCATGAATCTTGTTTATTCGCATCCGAGTGCCGTGCCCGTCTGCCTGCATGCACGAGCGCATCTACATTCGCGACATCGTTCCTCCCCGCTGTTGGCATACCTGCCTACACATTTTTCATTGTTGCATGCGCCTGTGCAACAACACGCCCGTTTTAAGCATGTGCGCTTACTGTAAAGTTGCACCCGCTGTACATCCCTGGTCAATTCTTGAGGGTGCGTGTGAAAGCTTGCTGACGCATGCGCTCCTGGACAATCAGCATTCTTTTGTGTGAGAGGCGACGCGCAGCTCTGCCTGGGCCGGCGAGACAGCAGAGGCAATGGCGAGACAGGATGGTGAGGGATTGATCATAAAAGCGATGTATCTCCTGAACGTGGGTGGGCACCAGTCTCCTCAAGTAACGACAGCCAACACAGTTCCGACCTGATCACGGATGAGAAGAAGCAGCAGGAGGAGTGGGACAGTGATGATGTTGTTGATGATGCTGATGCTGATGAGGATGCTGACGATTGTGCTGATGATGGAGCTGTCGACGATGATGCTGATGATGATGCTGATGATGATGATGATGATGATGATGATGATGCAGCTGAGGAGGATTCTGCTGATGATGATGATGATGATGCTGATGATGATGCTGATGCTGCTGATGATGATGAACATGATGATGGTGTTGCTGCTGATAGAGATGCTGATGCTGCTGATAATGATGCTGCCGATGGTGGTGATGATGCTGGTGATTCCCATGATGCTGATGTTGATGATGACGCTGATAATGATGACGATGGTGATGGAGATGATGGTGCTGCTGATGATGCTGATGCTGGTGCTGATGATGACGATGATGATGTTGCCGCTGATGGTGATGCTGCTGATGCTGATGATGCACATGATCATGATGTTGCTGCTGATGGTGATGCTGGTGCTGCTGATGATGATGCTGCTGATGCTGGTGATGATGCTGAGGAGGATGATGATGGTGATGCGGATGATTGTGCTGATGATGATGACGATGATGATGATGCTGATGATGATGATGATGCAGATGATGATGATGATGATGATGACGCTGATGATGATGATGATGATGATGATGCTGACGATGAAGATGCTGATGATGATGAGGATGATGATGAATATGATGATGCTGAGGATGATGCTGGTCATGAGGATGAGGATGATGCTGCTGATGCTGATGATGCTGATGATGATGACGCTGATGCTCATGGTGATGCTGATGATGCTGTGGCTGTTGTTGTCGATGATGATGATGCTGATGAGTCCGATGATGATGATTCCGATGATGATGCTGATGATGCTGCTGCTGATGATGATGATGATGATGGGTGATGATGATGGTGATGTTGATGATGCTGATGATGTGATGCTGCTGCTGCTGATGCTGCCGATCATGTGGATGAGGACGATGATGCTGATGCTGATGGTGATGATGCTGATACTGCTGCTGATGCTGAGGGGGATGATGATGATGATGATGATGATGATGATGATGGTGGTGGTGGTGGTGGTGGTGGTGGTGATGATGATGATGATGATGATGATGATGATTATGATGACGATGATGATGATGCTGATTATGATGATGATTATGCTGAGCATGAGGATAAGGATGAAGATGCGGATGGGGATTCTGATGGTGGAGGAGAACGGATGAGGAGGACGATGAGGATGAGGATGAGGATGGCGGGTGCGGACGGATGAGGATGATGATGAGGATGTGGATGAGGATGAGGATGAGGATGCGGATGAGGATGAGGATGAGGATGAGGATGAGGATGAGCATCAGGATGAGGGGGAGGAGGAGGAGAAGGAGGATGAGGACGACTTAGGAGGATGATGATGAGGATGATGATGCTGATGATGCTGCTGATGCTGCTGATGATGATGATGATGATGATGATGATGATGATGAGGATGAGGATGAGGATGATGATTACGATGATGACGCTGATGATGATGATGATGATGATGATGATGATGATGATGATGATGATGATGATGATGATGATGATGATGATGATGATGATGATGTTGATGAGCACGATGAGGATGCTGATGATGTTGCTGATTGTGATGCTGCTGCTGATGATGATGATGATGAGGATGATGCTGAGGATGAGGATGAAGATGAGGATGGCGATGATGATGATGATGAGGAGGAGGAGGAGGAGCAGGAGGAGGAGGAGGAAGAGAAGGACGGAGGAGGAGGAGGCGGAGGAGGAGGAGGAGGCGGAGGGAGGAGGAGGAGGAGCAGGAGGAGGAGGGACGGAGGGAGGAGGAGGAGGAGAAGCAGCAGGAGGAGGAGGAGGAGGAGTATGAGGAGGATGGAGTACGAAGGGCGCGCCGAGCACCCCAACCGCCGGGAGTGCCGTTTGCTGAAGGACCGCGAGCTCGCCCTCCTTTTTGTTTGCTGTCCCCGGCGCATGGCTGCCTCGTCCGCCTCCGCTGCCACAGCATCCTCGGAGAGGATGCTGTCCTACGAGGACGCGGACGTGTCCGCGCAGCTCAAGAGCAGGAGGGGGAGGATCCAGAGGAATGTGTTGGCGATGATGATGATGCTGCTGCTGTTGATGATGCTTCTGCTGCTGACGACGCTGCTGCTGATGCTGGTAATGCTAATACTATTGAGTAATGATGATGATGGTGGTAATGAGGATGTTGAGGATGCTGATGATGTTGATGTGGATGTTGACGGCGATGGCGATGGTGAATCTGATGACGACGATGACGATGACGGCGGCGATGGTGTTGGTGATGTTGTTTTGGTTGTTGCCATTCTCATTTGTGTAAGTGTTTCTGTTGCTGTTGCTGCTGTTGCTGTTGGTGTTGCTGTTGTTGTTGCCGTTGTTGTTATTATTGTTTTTGCTGTTGCTTTTGTCGTCGTCATTGTCGTTGTCTGTTGTCGTTGTGGTTGTTGCAGTTGCTGTTGCTGTAAATGTTAGTGTTGTCGTCGTTGTTGTTGTCGTTGTCGTTGTCGTTGCTGCTGCTGGCGCAGATGGTGATGGTGATTCTGAGGACGACGACGATTATGCTGATGAACACCGTAACTGCTGCTGCTAATATTGCTGTTGCGGCTGATGAATGATGAATGACGAATAACGAATGGTGATGATGCTGACGATGCTGATGCTGATGATGATAATGTGGATGATGAAGACGAGCATGGATATGATAATGTCGATGCTGATGATGCTGATGATGACGACGATACTGATGGTGATGATGATCATGATGCTTGTGCTGATGATGCTGATGCTAATGATGATGGTGATGCTAATGATACGGATGATCATGATCCTAATGATGGTGGTGATGATGATGATGATGATGCTAATGATGATGATCATGCTTATGCTGCTGATGCTGATGCTGATGCTGATGATGCTGATGCTCACGATGATTGCGATGAGTATGATGAATGCGATGGTCATGCTGATGATGCTGCTGATGATGCTGCTGTCGATCATGATTATTCTGCTGCTGATTAGAGTATGATGCTGATCATGATTATGCTGATGATGATTCTGATGATGCTGACGACGATTATGTTGCTGCTGATGCTGATGCTGCTGCTGATGCGGATGATACTACTGATGAGTCTGGTGCAGCTGATGATGCTGATGATGATGACGGCGATTCTGATCATGATGGTGGTGGCGGTGATGATGTCGATGATGATGCTGCTGATGATGATTCTGATGATGCTGATGAGGATGATGCTGCTGATGATGATGAGTATGATGATTATGATGATGATGGTGATGCTCGTGCTGCTGGTGATACTGATGACGATAATGCTGATGCTGATGCTGTTGATGAGATGCGGGTCACCGGGCGGGCAACCCGCAACAGGGGCGTGACCTTTATGCGCTTAGGGCCTTGGTAATCAAGTTTTGCTCCTAACAGTGCAACGGCTTTCCCTATTTGACAAGTCCTCCAGAAGTTGTCCAACCGTGGCGGATGATGATAATGATGACGAGGAGGAGGAGGAGGAGTGGGAGTAGGAGGAGGAAGGGGAGGAGGAGGAGGAGGAGGAGGAGGAGGAGGAGGAGGAGGAGGAGGAGGAGGAGGAGGAGGAGGAGGAGGAGGAGGAGGGAGGTGGAGGGGGAGGGGGAGGAGGAGGAGGAGGAGGAGGAGGAGGAGGAGGAGGAGGAGGAGGAGGAGGAGGAGGAGGAGGAGGAGGAGTAGGAGGAGGACGAGGAGGAGGACGAGGAAGAGCAGCAGGAGCAGCCGCAGCAGCAGTACGTGCAGTTCCAGGAACAGGAGCAGCAACAGGATCACGGGGCAAGGATGAGCAGGAGCGGAAGTAGTGGAAGGAGCTTGAGCAGGAGCAGGAGGAAGGACGGCGAGGAACCAGGAGCAGGAGCAGGATGACATGGAGGAAGATGAACCGCGAGGACGTTGCCCACACGGAGCCTCCAGCAAGCTGCGACGAGGCCGGGAGGGCCCCGACCAAGCGCCGACACCTGGCGCGGCCCGTCTTCTCCCTGCCTGCGAGCCGCTGCGGCTGGACCCCCTGGCCCCCCCCCTCCTCCTCCGTCTTCCCGTTGCCGCTCCCGCCGCCACGCGGGACACAGCTCTGGATCCGGTTCCTTCCTTGTCGTCGTCGCTCCCGCCTTCCTCCTCCTCCTCCTCCTCCTCCTCCTCCTCCTCCTCCTCCTCCTCCTCCTCCTCCTCCTCCTCCTCCTCCTCCTCCTCCTCCTCCTCCTCCCGTCGCCGCTTCTTCTCCTTACGATTGTTCCACGGGGGTGCTGCTCTCCCCTCGCTCTCCCCGGACGCCGTGCGAGCGGGGGGCCGCCTCTCCCGCAGGACGGCTGCTTGCGCACAGAGCTTCAGACGTTGTGTTGTCTCACACGTGTTGTTCGGTCGGCTGGCTCTCATGGTCTGAGCGGGCTCCTCCCTTTCCCTCCCTCGCGCCCCGTCCTGTTCGCCTTTCGTGCCCCGAGTCGCTCCCAGTGCATCCCACCGCTTACTGACCCGCGTCTGACTGTCCTTGCCCACTTGGCGTCCGCGGACTCAAACAATTATTCGATCGGGCAGTTATTTAATCGCTTCGCTCATGCCGCCGGCCCTGGAGCCGTCTTTAGGGCCTCTTGGGGGCCTCTTGGGGACCTCTTGGGAGTCTCTTGGGGCTCCTTGGCGGCGTTTTGGAGGCCCCCAGGGCCTCTTGGGGGGCTCTTGGGGGTAGTCGATTGCGGCTCCCCCCTCGGAGGCCACGATCTGTCCGCGGACTCAAACAATTATTCGATCGGGCAGTTATTCGCTGTTCAACGAGGTGCTCCCGCTGCAGCGCTGGCCTCACTTCGCGATCGGCGCTCCGCTTCCACCGTTTCGGGTGCCGCTCTCGCCGCGGCGCGGGACGTCTTTCTGGATTCGGTTCCTTCCTACAGTCTCCAGTACCCCTCCTCCTCCTCCTCCTCCTCCTCCTCCTCCCTCCCTCCCTCCCTCCCTCCCTCCCTCCCTCCCTCCATCCATCCCACCTTCCTTCCTTCCTCCTCCCTCCCTCCCTCCTCGCTCCCTCCTGTCCCCTCCTCCGCCTTTCCCTGGTCCTCCTGCCCTCCCCCCGCCCTTGCTGCTCTTGCTCTTGCTGCTGCCTGCTGCTCCTTTTCCTCCCTCCTCGTCCTCCTCTTCCTCCTGCTCATCCTTCCGCTCATCCGCCACATCCTCCTTGTTTCCCTCTTCCCCCCTCCCTCTCCTCCAGTGTATACAGCTGCGCATCACACGACGGGTTCATTTTGGAGATCCAGGTCCGCTGGGACATCCGTCGTTGGTGGATAGAGAACAAGAATCAACGCAATGGAGTTGATGGGTGGGTGGGGTAGGATGTCAGATATGGCGCGCGCGCAACTAGCTTGCCCCCCACCACCCTCACCACTCCCTCTCCCACGCCTCCCTTCCCCGCCTCCGCCTCCCAACGCAACCATGGCAGACAACGGAAGCAATGGGAGTGGATAGCCATGAGACAAGACCATCCGACGACAGTTGCTGCGAATGGTAGCTGGCCCTTGCGTGCGATACCTTGTTAGTGACACTGGTTCGAGGGCAACTTCATTCAATATGCCGTGAGATGCCACGGCGCGGACAGCATGAAGGGAGGGCTCTGGCCCCTCCGCGCAGGCCACCCAAGGGCCCCGCTCCTGGCGGTATCGCGCGCTCGCCTGGCCTCCCCGTTCCCGCTCCCCTTTTCCTCCTTGTTCCCCTCCCCCTCCGTGTCATCCGCCCCCCTGCCGATGCCCCATCCCCGTCCTCATGCCCTCTCTATCTCCTCCATCCTCTCTTCCCTTCTGCCCCCCTCCCCCGCGCCCACCATCCCCTCCTCCCTCTCATTCGCCTATCCCTCTCCACAGCTGATCGCAGGCCGCTCCCGGTCGAATCTTCTGAAGGGAAAAGCACCCTAAATTGCTTCGAGCCCAAGTTCTCTATCTTTTCTGCAACAACGGCTCCTGCAGGTTGTATCGCTGGCGAAACAATCCCTATTTGGCTGGCGATGGGCAGGTTTCGAGGAACGTGTCCTCCGCCAGTAGCCTGGGCACTTCCAGTGCAGCTCGTCCACGACAAGGCCACAAACTGGCAGCACATCGCCTCAGTGGCCAGAGCCAAGCATCTGAGTAGATGTCGGGTTGCACCGAGCGGTCTTCAAGTTGTGATCTGACCCTCCCTCCTCCTCCTCCTCCTCCTCCTCCTCCTCCTCCTCCTCCTCCTCCTCCTCTCAAGCTGCGTTTCCTCTTGCTCCTCATCCTCCTCCTTCTCCTCCTCCGTGGATCCTCGTTCGTTATTCGAATCTACTCCTACTCCGCCACCTGGCCAGCCGATGGCCGCTGGAGCTGGGACCATCCATCCTGCCGATGAGCATAGCATGCGAAGTTGGCATGTTCGCTTTCAGCATGGGCAATACGTCGTCCATGGTTCGACTGCGCGTAAGAACGACCTTTCGCCGGAGTGACCTTTGGTGCGGGCTCAATGGGGTCGCCCGGTCCCCGAGCGCGAGCCGGCAGCAGCGCCTTGCGCGCTTGTGTTGGCCCCGCAGGATCGGGGCTGGACAGAACCCCCAACAGTGACACGTTTTCACTAAACCACGTTTTGCTAAAGGGGGGTCTGTCCATCCCCGAAAGAAGCCGCGCACCAAAGGTCGCTCTTACCCAGGGTCGCTCTTGCGCGGGTGCCCGAGTGGTGCCAAACGCGTGGCGCCAGGGGGGCGTGGCGCGCCTTCCGCGCGAACGGCCGGAGTGCCGCTCTCGCCTCGGCGCCGCGCTCATCTTTCTAGAGCGTAGGGTTCCCGCTTAGGCGCGGCGCGGCGCGGCGCACATCTTTGCACGCAAGTTTGTCGACGAGCGAGTGGGCGAGAGTGTTGCTCTCGCCTCGGCGCCGCGCAGACTTCGCCTGGAAGTGGTGCTCCCGCCTCGGCGCGGCGCAAGTTTGTCACTCGCCAATTATTTTGGGCCCGCGCGACCCTTGCCCAAGCTCCGAGCGCATTTCGCTCGGAAGTTGCATTTCCTCGCGGGCGCGGCGCATGGCTCGTTCGCCGCTGTCGCATGAATGCGACAGCGGCAGCGGGGTCGTGCGAGAGCGGGCAAAATGCCGACCTTGCCCAGGAGCCGCGCAGATTGTGAGTGATAGTGGCAGTGCTGTGCAAGCGCGGCGCATGCTTCGTCTTCGCCGCGCCCATCGGAAGTATTGCTGCTCCCGCCCCTGCGCGGCCCGCGTAGTTCTCCCTTCGCCGAGTCGTCGGAAGCGGGGCCGCGCGCGAACGCCTTCCGTTCTCTAGTTGGGAACGCGTTCCAATCCCAGCATCAAGCCCTGCCACAGTTGATCACTGTAGTACGGGAGTGTGGGTGAGAATAGGCGGGGCCCTCTGATTCGCTTGACCTGGCCAGCTTGACTCCTCCTCCTCGTCCCTTCCTCCGTCCCTCCCTCCCTCCCTCCCTCCCTCCCTCCATCCCTCCTCACTCCTCCCTGCTGCCTCCCTCCTCCCCCCCTCCTCCCTCCCTTCCTTTCCACCTCCCTCCCACCACCTCCCGCCCCTCCTCCTCCCCCCCCCTCCCCCGAGCGAGGCGCCCTCTCGGGCCCGCCCAGCGCGAGCGAAGCTCGCGTTCCGCGCCGGGACGGCGCTGACGGGCTTCGCCGCCGTCGCCGTGGCCTGGGCCGCGCTGGGGCCGCAGCGGGCGCCGGAGCAGCGGGCTGGCCTGCGCGCGGTGGTGCAGCAGGCCGAGAAGAAGCGATCGAAGAGGTCGGCTCACGCCGTGAACAAAACGGCGGCGGCCGTGTTGTGTGTGTGTGTATGTATGTATTGATATGTGTTTTATGTGTACATGTGTTGGTATTCCTTTTTCTCAAGTTGTGCATTGTGCGCGCGTGCAGGCACTCGTGTGTATGTCTGTATGGACATACCTATATTATTTCGGCACCACGCTTACATGCATTAAACTATGTGTGCATGTATGTATGCATGCATGTATGTATGTATGCATGCATGTGTACATGCTTGTATGTCTGTCTGTCTGTCTGCCTGTCTTTCTGCCTGTCTGTCTGTCTGTCTGTCTGTCTGTCTGTCTGTCTGTCTGTCTGTGTGTCGGTATGCATCTATGTACGCATGCGTGCATGTACGCATGTCTGTATGTAGGCATGCATGCATGTAATATATGTGTGTTTGTACGTACATGTATCTGCAAGCATGTAGGTATGCATGCGTGTTTATCTGTATGCATGTATGCATATATGTGTGTATGCATGTGCCGATAGGCAGGTAGGCATGTGTATATATACATGTATATATGTATATGCATATATAGATGTGTATAGGTATTTGTATGTGTAATTGTATAGGTATATGTATATGTATATAGAACTATGCAAATGTATTTGTATATATACATGTACATGTCTAGTTATATGCATGTGTATGTATGTGTTTGTGTACAAGTACATGTATATGCATTCCTTTCTGCATATGGATATGTGTATGCATATGTATACGTAACGGTATGTCTGTCGGTCTGTCGATATGTATGTATGTATGTGTGTATGTATGCATGTTCATTTGTTGTTATATTTACAGGTCTATACGTATGAATGCACGGGTGTACGTATGTATGAACGTATGCATGCATGTATGTATGTATGCATGTGTGTAGGTATGTATGTATGTATGTATGTATGTATGTGTGTATGTATGTGTGTATGTATGTATGTATGTTTGTATGCATGTATGTATGTATGTATGTACTTACGTACGTACGTACGTATGCATATATGTATGTACGTATGCGTGTATGCACAAAAAAACTCCTCTCTCTCACTCTCTCGTTTTTTTGTTCTCTGTTCTGTCTCTCTCTCTCTATCCCTCTTTCTTATTCTCTTTTACATTCTCGGCCTCTGGGGGCCCCAGCCAGGCCCCAAGGGTCTCGCAACGCGGCCTGGGACGAGAGAAACTTGCCCCTTGGAAGGGGCCGATCCAGAACGCGGTGGTCCCGCAAAAAGCGACCCGGGATGAACTAGAAGCTGTCCCCGGGGCAGGGGTCGAGCGAGACCTCCGAGACGGTCCACGTCGTGAGAGCACCTCAGGGTGTCGGTGTCGGGACTCCTCGGCAGCCCAGCCGCCTCCACCGCCCTGCCTCAAAGAGGGGAAAGGCGGTATGAGCAGGAAGTTCGGAGTTCCGCGCGGATCTCTTGGATCGGCGTCGGGCCCCCCTCCCTCGCGCGCGGAGCGCGCGGGGGCACCGCAAGAGGCGCCGCTGGGGGGGGCCCAGCGCCGATCCAATGATTCGTGCGCAGTTCCAAAAGTTTATGTTCATGCCGCTGTTCTTCTTCCAAAGCGGCTGCCAACGATCGTTGCGGGATGTCCGGCCCCGATTCAAACCTCAAGGGTGTTGTTGGAGTTCGCTGCGGCGGTCGCGGCGGCCACAGATCGGGGTAAGGTTTCTATCAAGGAGTGGCACGCCCCTTCCCAGCCGCACCCCGCTCTGCGATGTAGACGTGGCCCATTCGGTGAGGGCGTTGGTTCAGGAATGCGCCCGTGCGGTTTCACATCCTGAAGGATTCCTTATCTGATGAGGGCGGCGGTGATATGCATGACCATGACTCACTTGGTGTTCCACTCACTTCCAGACCCTGGATTCCTTACCCAACGATTCCTTGTCCAATGCCCCCACCGCAGCCGTTTCGGCGCGAGCTGGTATTCTTGAGCTGGAGACAGCTCGCGATTGTGCCCACTTACTTCGAAGCGGCGTAGTGGGCACGAGCCAACTTTCACGACGACGGCCCCACCCGTGGCAGCCCGCGGGCCATGGCGCCGGCACAATCGGACCCTGGCATCATCTCAGGCGCGTGTAAGACACCCCTCTGGTCTTGCTCCTGCGGCTGTGATGGCAACTGGGCTTATAGGACGCGCTGCCGCCAGTGCTGGAAGGCTGCTCCCTCCCACGTGGTGCAGGCAGCCAAGCTCTCGGCAGCAGCAGCCAACGGGCCAGCACCCAGCACGTCTCGCCCGCGCGGGGCCTGGGCTCAGGGCCCGCCAGGACAGGGACAGCTTCTGGCGCAGCTGCAGCAGTTGCAGAAGCAGGTGGCAGAGCTCAAGGGCGAGGCCCCGCCCCCGTCGGAGCCCTGGAAAGGGCGCAAGCCCCCGCCCAGGAAGTCGGCCGAGGCGAGTGCTGGCATCTCCCTCAAGGACGTACGCACCTTCTTGGCGAAGGAGGGGCTTGACACCAGCGCGGTGGAAGAGGCAGAAAAAGCTGCGGAGTCGAAGACGCTCGAGAGCAAACAGCCCACTGCTCAGACGCAGCGCTGGAGGGTCAAGGCCATGCGAGACAAGATCAAGAAGCTCGAGGCCCGCGAGTCAGCCATCTTGGAGCAGCAGGCCGCTCTCGACAAGGAGCTCCTGGAGCTCAGGGCTTCGCTCGGCGATGAGAACCAGAAGCTCTCAGAGGGGGAGGCCGAGTTGGTCAAGTTGCAGGCCAGCGAGTTCCCCGACCCGATTCTGGCAGTCGCAGCTGGACTGGATGAGGACGTCGCCGCCAGCCAGGAGGCCAAGGACGCCCTCGCGGTCCTGGCCCGCTTGCAGAACGCAGCCAGCCTCAGCAAGAAGGCTGCTGCCGCTGCCAGGGCCGCTGCTGCTCCTCCTGGTCCTGCTGCTGGGGAGTCAGACGCAGGCGGCGAGCACAAACCTGTGCCAGAGTCAGACGACATCGACATGGAGCTGCTGGGAGGAGAGGGCCGGGAGGAGAAGCGCGAGGAGTACGCTGCAGCCTCAGCAGCCCTCCGTGAAGCGACCCCCGAGCAGCGAGACGAGGCCAAGCGCAAGCTGCGAGATGCCTTGGACGCGCTCTGGGCAGCAGGCACGCGGCCTCGGCATCTTTGACCCCAAGTACAACGGGAGCCTGGAGGAGCAGCGCGGCCAAGGGACTGGCGGTCCGCAGCCCAGCCGAGGACCCATATGCAATAGTGGGTTGCTCTTTCAGGATGGCGTGGCTACAGGCTCGGGCGTGAGTCCCCCCTTGGACCTCGTTTGCACGGTGAAGCGCCGTCCCCAGCCCAGGGCTGAGGAGGCAGGCGCGATGGTGCCCGACGCGGCCGCATGTCTCCAGCTGGCCAAGCTGGTGCGGCCCTCGGCGCAGCAAGGTGCCAGCTTCCTCAGCATCAACGGCTCCCGAGTCCCAGACGGCCCTCGAACAGCTGCTGGACGAGAAGGTCAGGGACGACGTGTACCTCATCCAGGAGACCCGCTTCACCTCGGCGTTGGCTGAAGGCTCGGCCCGTGCCTGGTGCAAGCGGAACGGCATCGACGCGGCCCTCGGAGAGTGCCGCAGCACAGGGACGGCGGTCCAAGCCGTCTCTTCGGGGGTCGCCGTGCTGGTCGGTGAGCGCCGCGGAGTGGCCTCGATCGACCAGGTCTGGGGCCAGCACGCCCCAAGGATCGTGGCGAGGCGCGTCGCCTTCGGGGACCTGGTCGTGGTGTGCGTCAGTCTGTGCTTACAGTGCTCGGTCAAGCTCAATGAGACCAACGTGGACCTCTTGAGTGAGCTGCAGGGTTTCCTCCTGGGGTTGCGGGAGCCCTTCGTAGTAGGGGCGGACTGGAACTTGGAGCCCAGCCTCCTCAGCTGCTCGTGGCGGCCACGCGTGGTGGGGGCGGTGATTTTGGCGCCTGACGAGCCGACCTGCGGAGATAGCACATCTGACTTCTTCGTGATCTCGGACGTCCTGGCGGGGCTAGGGCCGAAGGTGTCAGTGCTCAGACAGGCGACCACGCACCCGCACGTCCCCGTAAGGCTCACCTTCGAGAAGCTGAGCAGCCAGGCAGGAGTCTGGGTGCAGAAGGGCCCCGAGCCTTTCGAGCTGCCTGCGGCCAAGCAGGAGGGGATCCAGCCTGAGCCAGAGGAGGAGGACTCGCTGACGGACTGGAAGGCGCCGCTCCTGGACGAGAGTGGGAGCCCAAACAAGGCGATCATCGAGTTCTTCGACCAGGCGGAGGATCGCCTGATACACCTCCCCGACATCAAGGACGGCGCCAAGTACAGAGGCAGGGCGCAGGGGCTTAAGAGGGTACCCAAGCAGCTCATCCACCTCCTGCGCTCGGAGGAGGTGCGCAGGACCAGCCCGCTTACCCGCTGCTGGATCACTTTGGGGCGCCTGGCCACTCAGCTGGCGGCCGCGGCGTCGGTGCCCCACCCCTCGCCTGGGCACCGCAAGCACGTCAAGCGTCTGCAGGCGGCAGCACTAGGCTTGGTCCCCAAGTTTGAGGCAGCGGGCTGCGAGATGTTCGGCGGCACCAAGATGGCGACGATGATGGAGGAGATCTCGGTCAGGTCGCAGCAGGGCGGCATCTTCCTCCAGGCCATCAGCGCCGCCATTGAGGTCAAGCGCAGGGAGGGCGTGAAGCTCGCCAGGCAGCGCTGGAAGGAGTTCATGGCCGAGGCCCTCAGTGGGAACGGGAAGGGCGCCCACGCGATCAGCAAGCAGGCCAACCTCGAGACCTGCTCCATCCTCGGCCCTGGCGAGGGCGAGGCCCCCCCAGTCCCGCTGGTGGGGCAGCAGGCCCTGGACAGGATCCTGCAGGGGTGGAAGGCGCTCTGGCACAAGGAGGGCTCCGCCAGCGTCCGCCCCGAGAACTGGGACGAACCCTTGGGTCTGGGCGCCGTCACGGCGGAGGAGGTGCTGGCAGCGGCGGAGACCTTTCCCAGGGAGACAGCTCTGGGATGGGACGCCTTCCACCCCAGGCTCATCCTCATCTTAGGCAGGGTGTACGCAGACAGGCTGGCTGAGATCTTGACAGCCTGGGAACGGCACCCCCAGCCGTCGGAGCTTTTCGCCGCGATCATCGTCTTCCTGGGGAAGCCCGACGGGGGCCGCCGCCCGATCGGACTCCTCTGCATGTGGCTTCGCATCTGGAGCCGAATCAGGCGCAAATATTGCGCGGGCTGGGGGCGGGACCACAAGCTCACCGAATACTGGGGGGCAGACTCGGACACCTGCTGCGACAGGGCGGCCTACATCCACAACCTCCTGCTCGGCCTGGCGCGAGAGAAGAACTTCGAAGCTGCATCGGTCTACTTCGACATCAGCAAGTTCTACGAGCAGATCAGCCACGGACTGCTCCTCGAAGCGGCACGGGGCTGTGATTTCAACGCTGGGTTGATCCAGGCGCTGTGCGTGCTGTATTCGGGCCCCCGCAGGGCCAGGGCCGACCTAGCCCTCAGCGAGCAGCTGGTCATCGACGACACCGTCATTGCTGGATGCTCCTGTGCGACGACCATGGCGAGGATCATGCTGTACGACCTCCTGCTGCAGTCGAGGAAGCTGCTGCCTATTGGCAGGGTGGTCAACGTGATTGAGGACATCTCGGGGCACGCCATCGGCACGCGCAGGCTGGTCGTCGAGCAGATCGCCAGGTTCGCGAAGGGCGCCGCCACCATGCTGGGCGACAAGCGGCTCCCCATCAACTGGGGAAAGACCAAGGCACTGGCCTCCTCGGTGAAGCTGAGGAGAGAGCTGCAGCAGCACGCCGACTGGGCCCTCGCAGACGAAGCCTTCGTCGCTGGCCACCGCGACCTTGGAGGCGACGCGACGGCGGGCAGCCACCGCAGGGTCGGGACGCAGGTGGCCAGGGAGCTGGCGGCGCTGCGGCAGGGCAACGACCTCACCAGGATCTTCGGCTCGGGGATGAGGCAGGCCAAGATCCAGAGGGCAGGCCCCGCTGCCAAGGCCCTGTGGGGCTCGGCCATCAACGGGATCCCGCCTGGGCGCATGAGGGCGCTCAGGATATCTGCGGCGAAAGCCGCCTGCAACCTGCCGACGGGCGCCGCGCTGACCTTCTGCTTGCAGTGCGCGCCCCAGGGCTGGAGGCAGGATCCGCTGGTGATTGCGACGGGCATGGCTGTCCAGGCTTTCGTGGCCATGAGCTGGTCTGGCCAGGCCACTCCTGCCGCCGTGCAGGCCTGCATCAGGGACAGCAGCCGTCTGGCCTCGCTGCAGAGGCCGTGGGCCGCGGTGCGCGACCCCGTCTCGGCGCTGGTGCTCACGCTAGGGCGGGTCGGCTGGGTTCTCAGTGCTGACGGGCGCGTCCTGACCGACAGGGGGGGGGGGCGAGTTTGACGTCAAGAGGTTCTCGCCCGCCTTCCTCGCCGCCAGGGTCAAGGAGGACGCGCGTCAGGCGGCGTCGCTCGAGGAGTACGTCAGCAGGCCCGAGGCCTTCTGGCAGTGGCGGCTGCCGCCGTGGTGGGCGCCGATCAACCAGCTCCTCGGCGCCAAGGAGTCGGAAACCTGGACGGCTCACCACAAAGGGTGCCTGAGACGCTTGGCGTCGCTGGCCAGCTGGCCCCAGGCCCGACTGGCGAGGCACGGGCGTGAGATCGACCCGCTCTGCAGGCTCTGCGGCGCCGCCCCTGGGACGATGCACCACAGACACCACGTGTGCCCAGCCTGGGCGGCCTGGAGGCGGGACTACTGCCCGTGCCAGGTGAGACAGGCAGCGGAGCAGGCCCACCGCATGGGGCCCCCCTTCGACGAGCTCTTCAGTCAGGGGCTTTTCGCCGACATCAGCCTCCTGGTGGCCAGGCCAGCCTGGGAGGACAGCTGGGTGCGGCGATCCTGCGGCTGGGGGGGCGGCATCCTGGTGGTGCCCGACGGTTCCTTTGTATTCACCGACGGCTCGTGCCTGAACGGGGACTTCCCGCGCGTCAGGAGCGCTGGCTGGGCGGTCATCGTGTGCGGTCCCGAGGGGGGGCTCGTAGCCGAGGCGTGGGGTGCAGTGCCCCCCAGCGTCCTCCCGTCGCAGACGGCCAAGGCGGGTGAGGACTACGCTGCCGCCATCGGCCTCGCCGACATCATCGGGAACTACACGCTGCTCAGCGACTGCCTGAGCACGGTGAAGGCCGCGTCCAACCTGACCAAGGCCTGCTGCCCCAGCTCCCTGCACGCCCACGTGTGGGCCAGGGTGGGCGATGCAGCGGAGGGCGTCATCATTCGACACGTGCCCGCCCACCGCACCGAGGCCGCGGTGCAGGGCGGGGATCTCGCCCTTTTCGAGCTCGTGGGCAACAGGCGCGCCGACACCAGGGCAAATGAAGGAGCGGCTTTCCACGCCATCGCGGAGCGTGGCGCCCTGATGTTGGAGGGCTGCCTGGCTCGGGCGAAGGAGGTGGCCATGTGCGCGGCGGCCCTCGAGGTGCACGTCGCCGAGTCGGGGCTCAGGGATGCCTGGCCGCTCACCTCCTTGGACCTCGTGGACCTGGACCCCTTCGCTCCGTCGCCCGCCCTGGAGCCGCTGCTGGAGGCCGAGGAGTCGACTGCCCGTGGCCCTGGCGGACTGGCGGCCCTGGGGGCGGCAGCATCGCTGGCGACGGCAGCGGCGGCCAGCCAGGGAGCCTAGGCCCAGGACCAGGTCGACGCGAATGTCCGCAAGAGGAAGGAGGCAGGCGAGGGGCCCGTCGGGCCCAGTGAGCCAGTCGCTGATGCGTCGAGCGCGTCGGCGGCCTTGCTTCGCGCGGTCCAGCGTCGCCGCGCAGACAAGGCGGAGCGGGCAGCGCCCTCGGCCGCGGGCGCACTGAGCCCGCCCCCGTCGGCTGTGTCGCAGCCCCCTCTCCCTCCTTCCCCTGCGGCCTCCCCTGCTGCTGCGGCAGCCGCTCCGCCTCCGCGAGCCCTCTCAGGCCCAGCTGGCCAGGGGGGGACCTCAGGGCCCCAGTTTGAGACCCCAGACTCTGGCCAAAGGTCGGGGGTCTCTATTTCGAGTGTTTCGCGTGCTTGCCCGTCCCAGGACGCCCCTGCCGAGTCGGGAGTCTGGGAGGTCAACGGCCACCGTCTTCGGGAATCGCGCGTTTCTGGAAGTGACGGCCCTGAGTTTTTGGTGTGTGTGGCGTGCTGGATGTATTGCTTGAAGCCCCAGTACTGCCACAGGGGCCTAGCCAAGGCCTGCAGCGGGGCACAGCGCGCTGACGACCCCAGGGCCAAAAAGGGCTCCAGGGCGCAGGCGCGAAACGATTTCGCGAAGTCGATCCTGCCTGGGAAATCCAAGCAGCCGATCGACCAGCTGGCTCGGCCCACAGCGGCTACCCGTGCCAGGTGGGCCGAGGCGCTTGGCTCGGTCGAGGGCACTGGGGGCACGGAGGACCCAGTGGCCCCTGCAGGCTCCAGAGCCCCCGCCTTGGAGCCCCCAGAGGTGCGGGATCGGGCAACCGCCCCGCCTGCCCCAGGGAGTCTGTTTCGCCCAGGTCTCGAGGGAGTCCTGGGCTCTTTCGGCTTTGCCAGCGCTGCCGAGGCTCAGGAGCGAGGCAGGGCCGCCAGGGCGGCCAGGACGGCGGACCCCAGGCCAGTGGTTGGTCTGAGCGCGGAGTGACGGTCGCGCTTCGGGGTCTGGGCCTGGTCGGCCGCGGGCCCGTGCAAACTCTGTTTGCTGGGCCGTAAGACGGCTTCCGAATTGGTTTGTGCATGATAAGCCCCAGGGTGATAGGATAAAAAATGCCCCCACCGCAGGGGTGCCAGTTTATGTTCAACACGGGCAGTCGTGTCTTTTTGGTTTGGGGTCGAGTGCCACGCAACCGAGCGAGGGCCGAGAAGAAGCAGCACGAGGAGGTCGTGGCGGACCCGCTGCAGGCGGTCTACGACGCAGCGGGGGCCAGAGAGTGGGCGCTGGGCGAGCTGTCCGACAGGTGGAAGGAGGCCGAGGCGAGCCCTGGCAGTCTCGAGGGGGGATGAGGAGAAGGAGGAGGAGTGAGGGATGAGCGAGGATGAGGGAGGAGGAGGAGGATCAGGCGGATGAGGAGGAGGAGAAGGAGGAGGAGGAGGAGGAGGAGGAGGGGGAGGAGGAGGAGGAGGAGTAACACGGGCTGACAGTTGACTTCAAGATTAGATTCCCCGTTCGCCGATCCCCTGGGGTATGGCTGTGCGAAAGGGGGGGGTCCAAATCATGACCCCAAACTGGGGAGGGTACGGATCCAACGGACCTGATAACGCCAGCAACGACGCAGGGGCCGAAATCACGCTCTCCTTCAGGCAGATTTCCTACTGGTCCGATTGCTGGTCCTCCTTACCCTCCCTCCTCACCCCTCAGCCCTTTTAGCGATCCCTGGATCTGGGCTCCATGGGGGGGCGACATCCCGAAGGGAAGTGAACTTGCTGGGGCAGAGGTCCACTAAGACGCGGGGGCCAACCCCGTTGTGCCTGCTTCCAAGAGCGGGGTGGAAAGACACGAAAGACAGACTTCTCGTACCCACCTGGAACGCGCAGGCGCACCCCCGAAGCTCTAGGCGGACCCTCTTTGGGGCCTCCTCCGTTCTGAACTGGAATTTGGGCGCGGTTGGTGGTCTGTTTCGTCCTGCGAACGCAATCCGACTATGGGTGGGCCCCCCGACCCCCCCCTAGACTGATTACTGGCTAACGCCAGTCGTGCAGCAGGCCTGGCTAACACCAGACATGCGGGAGCCTGCTTAATTGAGCCTTGTAGCAGACTGAGCCCCATGGTTAATGTACAGGCCGGGGCCTGTGAACGAAGACGCGCCGCGGCCGAAACCAACGCAAACAACCACGTTCCGGTGAAACTCTTTCCGGAGCCCGGCGTCGGGACCCTCGTGCGGGAAGAGGCCTCCCCGGAACTCCGCGTTCGGCGCCGTGCAGCGCCTGAGACCACCTGTTCCCGGACGCCTCCCCAGGAGCATTTGGGCGGCCAGCTCTTTGGCCCACGAAAGGTTTGCGGCATTTGGCCCAAGTTCGCGCTTGAGAAGAGGGGGCCCGGGCTCGACCAGGCCCTTCCGAGAAGCGTCTCGGGATCCAGGGACCTCCCAACGTTAGGATGTTCCCTGGCTACCGCCCTTATCGACCACTATAGGGGAGTCAATCCCTGGCTAACGCCGGTCGTGCAGCAGTCCTGGCTGATGCCAGTCGTGCAGCGGCAGCCGAATTATGAGACCTTCCAACCCCCCTGAAACTAATTCCTGGGTAACGCCAGTCGTGCAGCAGTCCTGGTTAACGCCAGTCCTGCGAACGCAATCCGAATTAGGGTTGGCCGTCCGAACCCACCCCTTGATTCCTGGCTAACGCCAGTCGTACAGCAGGCCTGGCTAACACCAGACATGCGGGAGCCTGCTTAATTAAGCTTTTGTCGCCCCGACCCCCACTCCCTGGCACTCGTGGTCGGGGTGCTCGTCGGACCCCAGAAAGGGAAAGGCTGCCCCGTGCGTCACCGACCACTGCGAGTACCAAGGAGGCTGGGGGGTCATCGGCACGGGGGGGAGGAGGAGGAGGAGGTGGAGGAGGAGGAGAAGGAGGAGGAGCATGAGGCGGAGGAGGAGGAGCGAGGAGGAGGAGGCGGAGGAGGAGGAGGAGGTGAATGAGGAGCAGGAGCAGGATGATGATGATGATGATGATGATGATGATGATGATGATGATGATGATGGTGGTGGTGGTGGTGGTGGTGGTGGTGGTGATGATGATGATGATGCTGATGATGATGATGATGCTGATGATGATGATGATGATGATGCTGATGCTGATGATGATGATGCTGATGATGATGATGATGATGATGATGATGATGATGATGATGATGATGATGATGATGATGATGATGATGATGATGATGATGATGATGATGATGATGATGATGATGATGATGATGATGATGATGATGATGATGATGATGATGATGATGATGATGATGATGATGATGATGATGATGATGATGATGATGATGATGATGATGATGATGATGATGATGATGATGATGATGATGAGGTGGATGAGGAGGAGGAGGAGGAGGAGGAGGAGGAGGAGCGATGATAAGGAGCATGGCGGATGAGGAGGGAGGAGGGGGAGAAGCGTGGAGAAGCGATCAGGAGCGAGGAGGAGCGACGAGCTGCGAGGAGGGGCGAGGAGGAGGAGGAGGAGGAGGAGGAGGAGGAGGAGGAGGAGGAGGAAGAGGAGGAGGAGGAGGAGGAGGAGCGAGGAGGGAGGATAAGGCAGGAGGAGGAGGAAGAGGAGGAGGAGGAGGAGGAAGAGGAGGAGCAGGAGCAGGAGCAGTTTGAGGAGGAGGCGGTGGAGGAGGATGACAAGGACAAGGAGGAGACAGCAGAAGAGCGGGGGGAGGAGGGACGAGGAGGAGGACCAGGGTAAACACAAGGCGCATCAACGAAGTTGCAATACACCCTCCCTCCTTTCCTCTCTCAAGTACCTACAAGAATGCATTTTCATTGCGAACAGTGCCCCATCGGACGACAACCTCATACCTTTCATTCCTGGGACTTCAGCGCCTCGAATCGTCGTGACGGCTGCGTCTTAACAGTCCTAAGTCGTGCCAGATAACCGTTCCTGACATTCTAACGCCACCACCGCGGACCATTTTGTCTGGCGCGCCCTGACAATTTCAGTGCGTGTCAGAATACTATTCATTGGATGTCAACCGCATGAGCCCGTGATTCGGTTTCAGCATTCCAAGACGAATGTGCGCGGCGCGGTTGCCAACCTTTACGGCGAAGGTGTGCGGCGCTAGTGCGAGAGCTAAATTTCGAGAACCACCCACTCTCCATTCTTGAATCGGCTGCACTCTTTCAAGCCGACTGTGGGCGGCGCTGTGGCGAGAACCGCGTTTCGGACATGGCCCGTTCTCCATCCGTGAAGCTGGTGCCAACATTTCAGGCGACTCTGCGCGGTGCTAAGGCGAGAGCCACAGGGTGACACCGACCCGCCCTCCGTCCGCGACCCTGTCGCACATTCTGTGTTTCAGGATCATAACTGGGGAGATTTGAGGCGAAACGCCCGATCCGCCTTACCGACGCGTCTGGGGGGAGGGGCAGAGAAACGGAATGGCGGCGGCGGAGAAAGAGGAGGAGGAGAAGGAGGAGGAGAGCGAGGAGGAACGAGGAGCCAGGAGCGGGGAGCGAGAAGCGAGGAGCGAAGAGCGAGACGCGAGGAGCGAGGAGCGAGGAGCGAGGAGGAGGAGGAGGAGGAGGAGGAGGAGGAGGAGGAGGAGGAGGAGGAGGAGGAGGAGAGGATGAGCGAGGAGGAGCGAGAAGGAGAAGGAGGAGGAGGAGGAGGATGATAAGGAGGAGGAGGAGGAGGAGGATGATAAGGATGAGGAGGAGGAGGAGGAGGAAAAGGGTGATGAGGAGGAGGAGGCGGAAGAGGAGGAGGATGAGGAGGACCAGTGTAAACAGAAGACGCACCAACAAAGTTGCAGTAAACCTTTCCTGCAAGCTCCGTCTTCATAGGCCCATGCAACGGTTCATTCCTATTGAGGGGATTGCCTCGTTGGAAGGCACCCTTTTGAAGACCCTGAACCATGCCAAACCATTGTTCTCGGGATGCCATTTCCACGGGTCAACCTGACGGTTGCGTCGTGACGGTTTTATTTTGTGCCAGTATGCCATTCCTAAAATTTCAACACCGCAAACCAACGTAAACTTTGTACCCTCGTAATCCGAATCTTTCCAAACCACCATTTCTGGTACGCTGATCAGTTGGGGGCCCGTGGAACTCTTGCAACAATGAAGAACGAATGTGCGCGGAGCTAAGGCAAGAGCCACATTTCGAAAAGGAACCGCCCTCAATCCGTGAAACTCTTGCACAGTTTTGAAGTGAACGTGCGCGGCTCTAGTGCGAGAGCCACATTGTGAAAACGAGTCGCCCTGAATCTGTGACACTCTGGCATGCTTGTTTAACGAATGTACGCGGCGCTGAGGCGAGAGCGGCATTTTGAAAACGGCCCGCCCTCCATGTGTGAAACTGTTGTCCATGGTTGAGGCTCCAGGCCACACATGTTGATGGAGTCTCGGGCGAAACACCGGAGCCGCCATGACAAACAGCCTCGGGGTGCGACGGGGAGAAGCTATTCATATGGAAAAGGAAGGGATGATGAGGAGGATGCTGCTGATGATGCTGATGATGACGATGACGATGATGATGATGATGTTGATGAGGATGATGATGATGCTGATGATGCTGCTGCTGATGATGCTGATGCTGATGATGGTGATGATGATGATGACGATGGTGATGGTGATGAGGATGAGGATGGGGATGAGAAGGGGGAGGAGGAAGAGGAGGAGGAGGGGGAGGAGGCGGAGGAGGAGGAGGAGGAGGTGGAGCGAGGAGGAGGAGCGAGGTGGAGGAGCGAGGAGGAGCGAGGAGGAGGATGAGGATGAGGAGCGAGGAGGAGGAGGAGCGAGCAGGAGCGAGGAGTAGAGAGGAGGAGGAGCGATGATGAGGAGGAGGAGCGAGGAGTTCGGAGTAGCGAGGAGGAGCGAGGAGGCGGAGGAGGAGGAGGAGGAGGAGGAGCAGAAGCGAGGAGGAGCGAGGAGGATCGAGTAGGAGCGAGAAGGAGGAGCGAGAAGGAGCGAGGAGGAGCGAGGAGGAGCGAGGAGGAGCGAGGCGGAGGGAGGAGGGGGAGGAGGAGGAGGCGGAGGTGGACGCTGAGGAAGAGGCGGAGGAGGCGGAGGAGGAGGAGGAGGAGGAGGATGATGATGATGATGCTGATGAGGATGCTGCTAATGATGATGGTACGGATTATGGTGATGATAGTGATGATGATGCTGTTGATGCTGATGATGATGCTGCTGATGATGATGCTGTTGACGCTGATGATGATAGTGATGATGATGGTGATGCTGATGGTGCTGATGAGGATGCTGATGAAACTTATGATACTGCTGCGGGTGACGATGATGATGCTGTTG